AAATTAGTTAATGCCCATATGATGGCATTGAGCTTGCATTTGCTAATGGCACTGCTATAGAGTAATTGACCAGAGGCATAGCTTTCAAATTCTGGCTCTGTAAGGGGTTTCTAAACAAATTAAATACAATGACACCCTGATATGATGTGAATATCTCACGCTGAATTCTGATGGTAGCTGACTTTATGTGATTATTGGAGCTACACTTTTCTGGTATGGGGTGCTAATTAAGATGATTAAGCCTAAAATGTGAGCAGTTTCTATCTTCTGAGAAAAGTGGGGAATGCAAGGGAGAGTGTGATAGGGAGGTGTTTCTGGTGGGAAAATCTTTACTACTGCCCTGGCCTAGGCAACATGCATTCTTCTTTATCCTGTGCCATCAGATTTGTAATCATTTGTGGCCATAATGACATGTTTACAGAAATATTTCTCTGTACTGAATACAGAAGGGTAGTTCTACAAGACTAGAGCCAACAGAGCTTTTAGTGCCTGTTACAGGCATCCTCATGGCAATAGAAAGATCCAAGTCTGCTTTATGAATTATGATGCTTTGCTTATAGCAATGAAAGGGTAGCAAATGCGTAATCAAATAAAAGTTTATAGTCTGAATAAAACCGACCTGATGTTTAGCTTGCTTTTTACCTGTTTCAGTGCATTGTCTCAACGAATTTTAAGATGAATTTGCATCCTTTAAAGAAATGAACAGCAAAACAACACAGTCAATCACACATCTCTCATCACTTTCCCTAAAGAGAAAAAATCACTATGATTGAGAGTTTGGAAAATATAGTGTACACCTCAAGGATTTACATAGGAATTTTTCACTAATGGGGTTCAGTGGAATAGTTACAGAAGGCATGAAGATGTAGAGATACTACTTCCTCTCCCTCTTTGCACCAAGGAGATTGGCTAGTGAAATAGCCATTCAGCAGCAGGCTAGCGAGAGATGGATTGCAAGGATTTAGTTGTGGCTGAAGGATTTCCTTCAGGACCTGGCTATCTCCAAACACTCTAGTGTGGCCATAATCCTGGGCCAGCCTATAGCACCTTGCATTCCATTTGCAATTCTTCCTAACGTTGTACTTCCCACAGCTCTTACTTTCATGATTTCAGTTTTCACTGACTATGGAGGAGGGAAGAATGTTAATTCATAGGCAAATTTTATGGGAGTACAGTGTGGTAGCAGATAGAGTAGTTGGGTTGGAATCAGAATGGGATCCAAATCCCGTTTCTTACACTTTCTAGCTATATGACTTCACCTCTCTGTGTCAGAGGCAGTTCTCTAAGACTTATCTAAGAAGTCATAAATGAGTTGTGTTTGCCTCTTTGGGGAGGATTCTCATGCTAGGAATTCCCTACATGGTTGAATTTGTGTCCTAGTTAGACTTAAATCACATTTCTAGATGTGAAAGGCAGAAATGTAGATTAATAATGGTAACTGACACTTATAGTACTTTGTTTGCCAAGTACTTTATTTGAGCCTCACAGCAACACAGTGAGGGAGGGGCTGTAGGAATATTTTCCCTGTTTAAAGGTCTAGAAACTGAGACTCAGCAAAATTAAATAACTAGGCCACGGTTAGACAGCCAGGAAGTGTCAGAGGTAGGACTCAGATTCAGTTCTTTCTGACTCTAAAGTCCAGCATTAAAAAATCAGTGATGGAAGTTCTATGGGAATCTTCCATGTGAGGAGACCCTGTCTGTCCTGTATGCCCTATCATAGACATTATTGTTTTACATGAATATTCAGGGTTCCCTTCTCCTGCCTACTGTTTCAACAACTCAAATCATTCTTGTCACTTAAGGACTCTATTCAAGTAAGGTCAGAAAGAAACACGGAAAAGCGGGGCACTTTTAAAAATTACATGTTGAATTTATTATATACTTAAAAGGAAAAGCAAACTGTACATAATAGAGATCTACAGTTCCATGTACAACCTTTTTTATTCCCCTGTTCTACTAATTGTATGGAAAACTCCTTTTATTTGGGATTTAAGTTCAGAATTTAAAACACACACACACACACACACACACACACACACTTTAAATATTGCTCCCTAAAGGTAATAAAAAAAATTTAAAAAAAAACAATAAAATAAATTTTTTTTAAAGTCAGTTTGTTGACCACATCTAAAATCATCTTTGGCCTTGGTACAGTTTCCCTTAAGGCAACATAAGCTAAGCCATTTATTTGAACATTAACATGTCTGTGATATAGAAACGTGAGCAGACACAGCATTCTCCCTATTCCCTAACAGTTTTATTACTAACTTAACCTCCAGTTAGTCAGAGAAGGGAATCTAACTAGTACCAGAGTCCTGAATCGCATACTTCAATGTGGTAGTTGCTTTGTTCTTTTAAAAATTTGGGGGGATGGTATAAAAAATTTTATTGCAATTTTTTATGTTCAAATCTCCTTCACCTCCAAAAATCCCTCACTTCCCCTATCCAAAGATCCATTCTCTATAACAAAAAATTGAAGAAAAAGAAGGAAAAAAAACCTTTTCAACAAAAACTAATCACATCAACCACATCTAATAATATATGCATTGTTTGGTATCCATAGCACCCTTATCTACAAAGAAAGAAGAATAGTGCATCACTGCATCTTCCTATCTCCTTTAGGGCCAAGCTTCGCTGTGAAAATTATGCAATGTTTGGTTTGAAGTTTTTGTTCTTTTTATTTACATTGTCGTCATTGTATATATGTCTTTTTCCAGATTCAGCTCTTTGTATCAGCTCATCTAAGTCATCCTGTATTTACAAAGCCTCTTACTTTCTTTTTTTTTTTTTTGCTTTTTGGTGAGGCATTTAGGGGGTTAAGTGACTTGCCCAGAGTCACACAGCTAGCATCAAGTGTCTGAGGTTGGATTTGAACTTAGGTCCTCCTGACTGCAAAGCCAGAGCTCTATCCACTGAACCACCTAGCTGCCCAAGCCTCTTATTTTACTGAGAAAATTGAAGCTATTCAATATGAGCTCCTTCCCTCTTCTTTCCCAGCCTTCATGTCCAAACCCACTCTCTTCTGCTTTCTCCCAGTCTCTGACACCGAAGTGGCCCTATTCCTTGCCAAGGCCAACCCCTTATCCCATCACCTCCAGTCTTCTCTAGCAGATTGCAGCCTCAGTCAACTCTGCTCACCCCCCCCACCCCAGTCTCTTCCCATCTACTCGTTTCTTCTCTACTGCCTTAAAACATGCTCAAGGTTCTAATATCCTTAAAAACTTTCACTAAATAAAAAGAGAAATTCCACCTAAAATAACTGCAGACAACATAAAATACTTGGAACTTTACCTGCCAAGACAAACCCAGGGACTGTATGAATACAATTACAAAACACTCTTTACACAAATACATCCAGATTTAAACAACTGGAAAGATATTCATTGCTCATGGGTATGCTAAGCCAACATAATGAAAATGACAATTCTACCTAAGTTAATTTACTTATTCAGTGCCATACCAATCAAACTATCAAAGAATTCTTTTATAGCACTAGAAACTAGGCAATTCACACTTAAGACAAATGAAAGCCGAAGAGATACTTTCTGGGTAATTAATAGTCAATTTATTAATTAGGCTAGCTGATAATAAATTGATGGTCAAAACCATGGAGACCACTGAATGCTTAAATACCTTTGGAAAAGGGTTGATTTTTCAGGTGAAATCTTTGGAAATAACCTTTGGAAAAGGGGGTGCCCCTGACAGTTAAAATTAACCCTCACTGGTGAACAATTAACGAGGGGGTAGACTTTCAAATGAGGAGGTAAGTGGAAAGCCTTCAGCTCTTCCTGAGAACATGGCTTGATCAGGAGACTTAGCTGTCTCCAGCAATCTGGACAAAGGAATTCACCTCTATCCAGACCACTCCAATTGGTTTGTTACCCTAAACTCCAATTGGTTCATTACCCTACACTCCAGTTGAGGGGTACAAGGGCATAGACTTAGTGCTTTAGGACTGGAATTCACCTAGAGGAGATTCTCTTTATACTCTAAACAGAAGTAAGGTCTTCTGCTTGCATGGGGTCCTGCCCAAGATCAAGGAGCATTTTCCCGGAGAATTTGAGCAATCTCATCTATCAGCAATGTCCCTCAGAGACTGACTGACTGACCCCAAGGGTCTGGGCTCTGAGTGAGGAAATCAAAAGCCTGGATCTTAATTAATAACATGTTATTAATATAATAGAAAATAATAATTTATCTCACACTGTATACCAAAAATAAGGTCAAAATGGATAAATGATTTGCACATGAAAGGTAATATATATAGATATAGATAAGGGAAGTGTTTATTTAGCTTTTCAAGACCTTGATAACCTTGCCCCCACCTCATCTTTCAAGCAACCTCATTGTTCATTACTTCCCCTCATACACTGCAATCCAGCCAGAGATTTTTCTCTGTTCTTCACACAGGACACTTCATCTCCTGCCCCCATACCTCACTTCCATTCTCAGAATCTCTTCTTCAAGACATGGCTCAACCCTGATCCTGTCAAATGCTAGTACCCTTCCTCTCAAACTATCTTGTATTTAACTACTTTGTGTTAATTTTCTTTGTATACAAATATATTCTGTATATAATTTATAGATACGTATTATTGTTTACACATCAATCCTTGTTGTGCTCACCCACTAAGATGTAATCTTCTTGCAAGTAGGAATTGTTCCATTCATTCCTAGCACGGTGCCTGGCACAGAGTAGGTCATCCACTGCATCCCAGTCCATCACCAGTCATCTGACTTTTGTCCAGCGGGACTTCGATGACTCTGGAAGAGAGAGTGAAGCTGACCACTGTTCAACTCTGCCTCACTTAAATCCAATTAATATCCAATTAAATTAATTAAATTTATCCAATCCAATGAAATCCAAGTCAAGACATCACTCCATAATGTCACTGGTCCTCTTCAAACAAAGGACCCTGACAACAGTGCCTGGCACAGAATAGAAAATTAAAATTTATTTGATTGAAAAGCATTTATATATATGCTATCATACTTAATGCTCACAACAGCCCTGTGAGATAGGTAATAAAAATATTCTCGTTACCTTTTGTATGTGAGGAAACTGAGTCTCAAAAAAAGTTATGTGATTTGCTTAAGGTCACAAAGTTAGCAACACCACAGGAGGAACTCAAACCCACTCCCTTCTTTCAAATTCAGTGCTCTCTAAACTACCTCTCTTAAAAATTTGACCCACCTTCCTGGACCCTGCTTTAAACACCAGACTCTACTGTGACCTCAGGAGTTGTGAATAGGCAGGTGATGTCATATATGGCTGGTCAAGGACTGATCTCTCAAATTTGTGAAATGCCTGCAAGGTTACCACATTTGGCTTTCCGGACATCCACAACTCCACCAGATTCTGCTAAACGTTCAAGGAAATGAGAAGACTGCGAAACTGAACCGCCATGTTGTTGTTGCCAATGTTTTTTTACTTTCCATTGCTGGAAAAGACCTTAGGACGTAAAGATCGGCATAGTAAGTACTATGTACATAGATGGGTATGTGTTTATGTGCCTTGTGACTATGCAGTAATTCTGTAACTCCCGAGGGAAAATCAGTCTCATTGCTTCATGCTCACACCTCAGTAGGTTTCAGATGAATATATCTATATGGATGTGTATGTAGACAAATTCTATATACATATATGTTCTTAACTGAACTTGTAATCTATTTCATTAGTATAAGGAACTCCCTTTAGCAATGCAGATCAGCACCCACTCTGTGATTTGTATTGTTAGGTGCTTGATGTATTGAGAGGGTAAGTGACTTTTCTAGGGTCAAACAACCACTATGTGTCAGAGACAAAACTTAAACTCTGGTCTTCCCGTCTCCAAAATCAGCTGTCTATCCACTATGCCACGCTACGGCATGGCTGCCTTTTGCCTCTTTTTGTGTCCCCAACATTTAGCCTAGCACCTGGCACTTATTAGGAACTTAATAAGTGTTTGTTGGGGCAGCTAGGTGGCACAGTGGATAAGCTCCAGCCTTGGAGTCAGGAGGACCTGAGTTCAAATACAGCCTCAGACACATGACACTTACTAGCTGTGTGACTCTGGGCAAGTCACTTAACCCCGATTGCCTCACCAAAAGGCAAAAAAAAGAGGTATTTGTTACTGATTGTTTGGAGATATATTTATATGTGTATATGTATATATTTGCACAGCTTTGCCTCACTTAAATCCAATTCATGTACAAGTCAAAATATTACCTTATGATATCATCGGTCCCTTTTGAGATCAAAGGACAAAAAACAAATGAACAATTCTATACATACATATACATATATATATATATATACACACACACAGAAGTTTAGCTACACATACACAAAAATCTCTCAGTACGTGTATTTAATGATATGTTAAAAATGTATTAAAATGATATATTAAAGTGTGTTTAATTTTATATATATATATATACATATATATATATGTCATCACCTTCATTTCCCAAATATACCCATATATATTTTAAGTATTACAGATGTACTTTTATATAGCTATGCATATATTATATGTGTATATATATATGTATTTGTACATATATGCATGTGTACATGTGTATATGTATATTTATATAGACAGATACAGGGTGTCCTCAAAGTCTTTGTGCAGTTTTAAGCTTTAATTAGCTTTAATAGCTTAAATCTGCATTGAGACTTTGGGGATACCTTGTATATGATTATCTTCATTTCCATATTCGTATGTACACTAAGTTATCAGAGATGTCCTAACAAAAACAATTTGTGTGATGCTTCACGTTTTACCAAAGGCTTTATGTATGTTTTCCTTTTTGATCTTTCCCAACAACTCTGAGAGATGAGTCCTCATTCTACAAATGAGGAAAATGAGGCTGAGAGACTTTGATTTACCCCAGGTCACATAGCTAGTAAGTGTCTAAGGCAGGATTTGAACTCATGGCTTCCTGACTCCATGTCCAGGACTCTATGCTAGCTACCTCATCACCATAGTGAAGCGGGGGAGACCCAGACATCTCCCAGCTTATTAGAAGAGGCATTACTGGTTCACCTTCTGCCTCCTCTGTCCCCAGATTTAGTGTTTTCTCTACTGTACTACTCTGAGTGCCAGTGCCAACCCTGCAGGACTGTTTTACATAAGGATTCCATTAATTGGCAATTCTGCCAGTGATATCTAAGTATCTCTCTATAACTGCAATAGTAATTTTTTTTCATTTTTGCTTTTTCAATTGGGTGAGAGAGAGATAATACCTCAGAGTTCTTTTAATTTTATTTTTGACATGATTAGGCAGGTTGAATAATTTAAAGTCATTATTTGTTATTTGTATATCAACTGGATATTCTGTTCCTTTCCTTTAAACATTTTTCCATTAATAAATGATCATTTAAAAAAAGAAATCATTTCCTTTAAATATTCATATCCATTTCTTATAGATTTTCTATGTCAAATGCCACCCTCTCTTTTTTTTTTTTGGTGGAGGAAAAGAAAGGCACCTAATTGTAATATTCCTTTCTTCAATTCTTCATGACCCCATTTGGGGTGGGAGTGGTTTGAAATTTCCTTCTCCAGTTCATTTTACAGATGAGGAAACTGAGGCAAACTGGGTTAAGTGACTTACCCAGGGTCACACAGCTAGTCTGAGGCCAGATTTGAACTCAGGAAGATGAGTCTTCCTGACTCCAGGTCCATCACTCCATCCACGGTACCATCTAGCTGTCCAGTCTTCCTTTAGTGCCTTTAATATGTTTCTTCAATTATTTTTTGAGATTTCTTATATCTCTTTTGGTGTTGTTTTAACTTGCATTTCTGCAGGATAATTTTATTACTATCTTGTTAAGTTTAATATACACTTTGAAAACAAATTGTATATAACAAGTTCATGGTTTCATGTACAATCCTCTTTTTTGTACTTTGCATGTTGAAATGTTTGTATGCGTTTATGATTGTTAAGTTGATGATAAAGAAAATTTAAGAATAAAAATAAATAACCATTATTCTAACTATATCTAACATCATTTATGGTGCTAGTTTTATAGAAAAATACATTCTAAGGTCAACTTGGGGGACCATGACCTTATTCTTGGGCACTAGTCATTTGTTAACTCTTTACATTTACATAAGAGGGGGTTCAAGAATTCTGAAATCCCCTTATCTGACCATATTCTACTGGCTTTTCACCCCTCTCTCTGCCTTTCCTTACATAACCCTACTCTTCATCTGCACTGTGACTTCCAATACCTTGACTCCTCAATTCTCTCTCAGGCCTTCTCCCCTTCATGGGCCACTCTCTCCTCTTCTCCCCAGAATCCTTAGTGAACCAATTCAACTCTACACTTTCCTCTCTTGAATCTCTAGCCCCATTTCCATATCACCCAGCCAAGGCTCAGCCTTGAATCGCTCCCACCATTTGTCACCTGTGCTCCTACAAACGCGTTGCTGAACAAAGGAGGAGAAAATCACACTACCATGCTAACTGGGCCCTCACTGCTGCTGGGCAATCCTGTTGTACTCACTTATCAACTCCCTATCCCATTTTCCACCGCAGCTCTTCCAAACCTTTTCATCCCTCCCCAAACTGTCATCTCCACTCTTTTACTCACTTCCAATCTTTCCCTCTCTACTTACTCATTCTCTGCTACCTACAAACATGTCCATGTCTCCCCTATCCTGAAAAAAAAAACCTGACAGTCCCTCCACCCCATCATCCTATATCTCTTCTGTCCTTTGTAACTAAATTCCTTGAAAAGGCCCTCTACAATAGGTATGTCCACTTTCTCTCCTCTCACTCTCTTCTTAACTCCTTTCAGAATAAATTTGGATTCAGTCGAAAAGCTGCCCTTCGGGACCTAGAAGGCCACATATGGCCTTAAGGCCACAAGTTCTCCACCCCTAGTCTATTTCCAAAGAAGATTAGGGGAAAAGGAAAAAAACCTATGTGAATTAAAATGTTTAAAGCATCTCTCTTTGTGGTGGCAAAGAACTAGAAATTGCAGGGATGCCCATCAATTGAGGAATGGCTGAACAAGTTGTGGTATATGATTGTGATGGAATGCTACTGTAGTGTAAGAAATGATGAACTCAATGGTTTTAGAAAAACGTGGAAAGACTTCCACAAAATAATGAAGAATGAAGTGAGCAGAACCAAGAGAACATCGTAAACAGTAATAGCATTATTGTTTTAAGAATGACTTTGAGCAAAAAAGTTATTTTGTCTATTATAAATATCCAAATTAAGTATAAAGGACAAAGAAAGATGTTATTTGCATCCAGAGAAAGAACTGATAAATAGAAGTATGTATAGAATAAATTTATACACACACACACACACATTTGTGTCTAATGGTAGCCATCTCTAGGGTGGGGGGAGAAAAGGAAGGAAAAAAAGAAAAAAATTTACATGAGAATGTTGTATATTTGAAAGGAATAGCAAGTTGTGCATAATAGATTGCAGCTTCATGTACAATCGTCTTTTTTATTGTGCTGTGTTATGGAAATGCTTGTTGTATTCCATAAATTAAAAATAATTTTTTTTAAAAAGAAAGAAAAAGAAACCAAATCCCTGACCAAAGAAGAAACAGGTTCAGGAGACAAAGAGAGCCTCTGGCCAACTATTGTCCTTGCTAGAATCTCTAAGACTCACAGAATGTGAGCGATTCTGTGAGTGATAGAAGGCATCTTCATGGTTGAGTTCAAATCCCTCCTTTTATTCATGAGGAAACTGATATCCAGTCAGTCACTCAATAAGCAATTATTAAATGCCTTATATATACCATATATATATGGAAATAATCCCTGGGGATACAAAAAAAGTCCAAAGGCAGTCCTTGCCCTCTCTTCTTAAGAGAAGGAAAACGGATTTGTCCAAAGACACGCAGGCAGTAAGTAGCAGAGCTGGGATGGGTGCAAAGCTCACCTCAACAACTAGAGCAGCACCCTTTCCACTGTAGCATAAGCACTTTACCAGGTTTGAAAGAAGATGGGAGTTTTGCTTTCCAAGGTACATGCAAACCTATACAAAGAATACCATTTTTCTTCCCTCTCTTCTTGTGATAGTTGCCTGTGGTCAAGTCCATACACCCTCAATCTTGAAAACTGAAGCTGCCCCAATCCTAGGGGGAGTTGATGCTACCTGTTTTGAAGTTCCTTGGCAAGTGGGCATCTATTTCAATAACACATTTTTATGTGGAGGATCGATACTGGATAAGTTGTGGATTTTAACTGCTTCCCACTGCTTCATAGATGACAAGTAAGTGTTGAGAAAATGAATTTGTTTTTTTTTTTCTTTCTTTCTTTACAGAATGACAGAATCTCAGCTGTGGGAGGAATCTCAGAGGCCTCTGTTCCTACCCATTCCTGAACAAAAATCCCCTCTATGACAGGCCCAATAAGGGGTCATTTAGCATTGACTAGAAGACTTCCTAGGGCAAGGCAGCCCCTTCCACTTTGTTAGGCACATCTTTTCATCAAGTCTAAATAGGTTTCTTTACAATGGACATCCATTGATGTTGGTTCTACCCTGCAGAGTGAAGCAGAAGAAGGTAATCTGTGCTTTTAATGTTTATTATAACTGAGACAGGGGGGCAGCCCTGAAACAAAGCATGGGAATGAAATTGGAGCCAGCTGCTTTAATTTAAGTGGCTTCTGACAATCCCTGAAGATAACTCCTTTTTTCCTTGCTAGGCTTTCTTTATTGGGTTCCTATATATATAAGCACAGAAAATGCCCTCAAGTTACATTATATAACTATAGAATCTTAGTGTTAAAATAACAACCACCATTTATATAGCGTTTACTATATAAATACTGTACTAAGCACTTTACATTTATTATCTCATTGGACCCTCACAACAACTCTAGGAGGTAGATACTATTATTATCCCCATTTTACATTTGGGGAAGCTGAGGCAGACAATGGTTAGGTGACTTGCCCAGGGTCACACAACTAGTAAGTGTCTGAGGCTGGATTTGAACTCAGGTCTTCCTGATGCTAATAGTATGCAATCCACTATGCCACCTAACTACTCCAAAGGACCTTAGACATCACCTCTTCAAACTTCATCATTTTACTTATGAAAAAGTAGACCTAGAAAGGTTAAGTCATTTACCTGAGGCCATACAGCTACTCAGAGGCAGACGTAGATCTCACTCAAATCTCTTAGTATTCTAGCACTCTTTTGACGACATCATTCTCCCTCTTCGAGATTTGTCAAGTGTTTTCATTAGGCATTAATTCAAACTATTGTAACTAGACTTCCAATGGGTTAATTGAGATTCTTCTTCTTCCCTTCTCTGTAGCTCAGAACCCCTTGACATCATCTTCCCTGACACACTCTTTCTTTTATTACTCTAGTCCCTGAGGAAGAGGTGACTTCTCTGGTCTTCTTGGCCCTTGCCAAGGCCAATCCTTCTGCATGTACCCTTGGCCCCTTTCCCATTTCTCTCCACTGCCAGATTTCCTCTATAATCAATAATACGTATCTATAATCAATCATTCTTCTTCTCTCTCTGTCTCTGTCTCTCTCTCTCCCCTTACATATCTCTTTCTGTCTCTCTTTTCTTTCTCTCCCCCTACATCTCTCTGCTTCTGTCTCTGTCCCTCTCTCCCCCTCCACATCTCTGTGTGTGTGTCTCTGTTTCTCCCTCAATCTTTCTCTGTCTCTGTCTCTGTTTCTCTCTGTCTGTCTCTCTGTCTCCCTTTCTTTCTCTCTCACCCCCTACATCTCTCTGCTTCTCTCTGTCCCTCTCTCCCCCTCCACGTCTCTGCGTGTGTATCTCTGTTTCTCCCTTAATCTCTCTCTGTCTCTGTCTCTTTCTGTCTCTGTCTCTCTCTGTCTCTCTCTCTCTCTCTTTCTCTGTCTCCCCTTCCATATCTCTCTCCCCTTCCATCTCTCTCTCTCTGTCTCTCTTGCTTTCTCACTCTCCCCCTACATCTCTTTGCCTCTGTTTCTGTCTCTCTTTCCCCTCCACATCTCTTTCTCTCTCTCTCTCTCTCTCTCTCTCTCTCTTCTCTCTCTCTCTCTCTCTCTCTCTCTCTCTCTCTCTCTCTCTCCCATCTGCTACTTTCTTCCATCTGCTTACAAACATGCTTAGGTCTTCCCCATTCTTAAAAAAAAAAAACAAAACCAAATTCATGACTGAACCTATCATACAAGATCTCATTTTCTCTTTCACAACCAAAATCCTAGGGAAAAAGCTATCCACATTCATTGCCTCCACTTCATTTCTTCTCACTCAGTTGACAGTTCACTTGGATTCTGATCTTATATTTCAACAGAAACTGCTTTTAAAAATACTATTTTATTTTCTTTTCAGCTTTGAATTCTCTCCCTCCTCCTACTGCCTCCCCTCCATTGAGAAAGGAAGAAAAAAACGAAACCTGTTACAAACATGAATAGTCAAGCAAAGTAAATTCTCCTATTAGCCATGTTTAATAATAATAACTCCTTTCACAGAAACTGTTGAGAAAACAAACTACTCTCCTCAGAGTTACCAGTGATCTTTTTTTTTAAATTGACAAGTGTTTAGTATGCACCAACAAATAAACATGTATTACGTGCTAAATGCCAGGGACCCAAAGATAAAAGTAAGGCTGTCCTTGGCCTAAGAAGGAGCTTACTTCTGGGAAGAGAGGAAGGAAAGAGCTATATGTACACAGAGAAATGAATACAACATGTACACAAAGCACATACAAAGTAAATGGGGGAAGCATTAGCAAATGGAGGAACCCCAGGTAGGCTTCATGTGAGAGGTGGTACGTAAGCTGCACTTTGAAGTGAAGAGATAAGGAGAGAGCATATATTCCAGGCATAGGAGACCACCTGAGCACAAAGATAGGGAAACAGTGGAGACAGGGAATGTTTTGGGTGGGAAATACCAAGAAGGCCAGTTTGGCGGGAACTCAGAGTGTAGGAGAGTGAAAGTAATGTGGAATGGGGAGGGGGGTTTGGAGGGAGAAGAAAATGGGTCATTTATTAAACACCCACTGAGCGTCAGGCACTGTGCTAAGTGCTGCACAAATGTTATCTCATTTGATCCTCACAACAGTCCTGGAAGTAGGTGTCATTATTACCCCCATTTTGTATTTGAGGAAACTGAGGTAGATAGAGGCCTGGGGCAAGATAATTAAGGGCCTTGAAACCTAGAGGAGTTTGTATTTTATCCTAGAGGCAAAATAGTCTATTAGAGGAACTGCAAAAGAAACCAAAGCAGGGGAATGACTGGTCACAACGGTAATTCTGGAGTAGCACTTGGGTATGCAGGTAGTTTACCGTGCAAAGAGATGCTGGGCGACAAAGTTAACAAAGGAGAATGCCTAATCATCAGCTCTGCTGTCTAGCAAAGCGTCACTCATGCTATGTAGAGAGACATTGAATGTACGCTGAATCAGGCACCCCCATCCCGAGCCATATCCCACCCATGATATCCATGAGATCAGATTTGCCTCCTTGCTTTAGAGACTCTGGAAAAGGTTCCAGTCTCTTCCACTTGGCAGTCTTCATACTAGTCCACTATCCCTGGTCACTAGTCACTCTATCCCTGGCATCACTTAGCTGCCTTGGGTTTAGCTAAATTCTCTTCCTATTTGCAATTTCCCATTTTTTCTCATCTTTTTGGTTTCCAACCAAGCCCGTCCTATTTGGAAATGCAGTGACACTGGAGGAATTTGACAGCGAGAGAGTGGAGAAGAGAAATGTGTCAAAGCTCATTCTTCATCCTAACTTCAATGAAATGTTCATGGACCATGACATTGCTTTGATGTTACTTGATTCTCCTATAGAATTTAACATACAGAAAATACCCATCTGTCTGACGAAAACCATAAAAGATGTGAAAGAATGCTGGGTATCCGGATGGGGACTCACAAGTGAGTGACTTTTCCAGAGTGACTGGCATCTCTCACCTCTGGTGCTGTATGTGGCAAATATATACATATATATGTATGTATGTATGTATGTATGTGCACATATTTATGTGTGTGTATGTGTGTGTGTGTGTGTGTGTGTGTATGCTGTAGACAGAATAAAAAACCCTTGGAGATCTACTTATCCTAGAAAAAGGATGCTTGGTTTATATGGTAGCCCTACTCTTAGTTTTGGATCAGAAAGGCAGGCTTTCTGCCCCGCTTGCATCATGCACTACCTCACTTAATGTGAAAAGAAGGCAGGCCCCTGTGGACACCTTCCAGGATTCTTCTCTCTAGCCAGGATTATAGCAGTATAATAGAATAATGGAAAGTTGCAGCTGGAAAGGACCTTATTAAAAAATAAAGGCATAGTTTGAATTGGATGGTCTCTGAAGCTCCCTGCCCATGCCTCAATTCTGTGATTTTATGAAATCAAGTTCAGTAGCTACCCAATGACTTAGATATACAGTGCAAATTTGGGGCAGCTGGTGGCACAGTGGATAGAGCACTGGCCCTGGAGTCAGGAGGACCTGAGTTCAAATCCAGCTTCAGACACTTGACACTTACTAGCTGTGTGACCCTGGGCAAGTCACTTAACCCTGATCGCCTTACCAAAAAACAAAGACAAGCAGCATAATTTTGGGGCAGCTAGATGGCATAGTGGATAGAACGCCAGCCCTGGAGGACCTGAGTTCAAGTCTGGCCTCAGACACATAACACTCACTAGCTGTGACACTCTGGGCAAGTCATTTTACCCCAACTGCCTCACATACACACACACACAAAAAGATACAGTGCAAACTCTTGATACTGAACCTCCACAATCTGGCTCCAATACACCTATTAAGTTTCCTTGTCTGTATCAATCAATGAATCAATCTATCCTATCATCTATCTATCTATCTATCTATCTATCTATCTATCTATCTATCTATCTGTCTGTCTGTCTGTCTAATGCACAGTTCTTTCCTTCAAAATGGGCCACTAACTGTTCCCCAACATCACATTCTACAATCCCACACCTAGGCATTTGTGCAATTAGTTTCTGATGCCCAGGACACATTCCCTTATCATTAGAATGTAAACTTCTTGAAGGCAGGGGCTTGGTTTTGCCTTTGCTTTGTATTACCAGCTCTTAGCACAGTGCCAGGCACACAGAAAGTGCCTAATAAATGTTCATTGATTGTTAGCTGTTGAAAACCAACCTCCTCTTGCTTCAAGACCCAGTTCAGTCATCACTTTCTTCAACACGCTTGCTTACTCTGATTTCCCTCTGGGGGAAGTCTTTTTTTCCACCTCAAATTTTCTTAGAGCACTTTGGGTCTCTCTTTTGTATTGATCTCATTCTACTTTGTATGGTACCTATTTCTGTCATGTTAGCCCTAGTAGATTGGTTATAAGCTCCTGGAAACCAGAGACTGACTATGCATCAGTTTTCATCTTTGTAGCCCCTGTGCCTTGCACACAGTAGGTGCTGGATAAACATCTGAATAATTGATGTAGGGTAAGTCGAATGCATTCTCTATCTCATTCATCTTAAGTGGGGGTGGGGGAACTCCCTGGTGAGGATGCTTCCTCCACTGAAGCAGATTGGCATCCTTCTGTAATTTGTAATCTTAGTTGTTCTGGGGAACAAGCTCGGTACTTGCCCATTATCACACAGCTGGTACGTCAGAGGCAGGAACAGAACCCAGATCTTCCTGACCCCAAGGTTAGACCCACTCTCCCCTGCCAGTCTGCCTGTCTCAATAACTGACAGGTATCCATAAGGTTTGCTAGGTTCCTTACAAACTTTAACGCATTCAGTTTTTTTGCCAGACTACTTTATAAGTGTCTGGATTGCTAGCAAAGGTCAAACTCAGACTCAAAGGGCTATAATTTGTTCTTGTTGCTAATTAATAGTTTAATTAGTAATTATTAATAACTTATTATTCAAATAAGCATTTACATAGCACCTATTATGTGCCAGGGTCTGTTCTAAGTGCTTTACAAATATTATTTCTTTCTTTACGTTGCTTCCTTTATTTTTATTTTTTTAGCTTTTAGTCTATATTTTATTTTTCCCCAGTTACATGTAAAAACAATTTTTAACATTTGTTTTTAAAACTTTGAGTTACAAATTCTTTCCCTTCTTCTCTCTCAACAAATATTATTTCATTTGATCCTTACAACATAGCCATGGGGAGATAGATGCTATTATTATCCCCATCTTATAGTTGATGAAACGGAGGCGGACAAAGGTTAAGTGACCTGTCCAAGGTTACACAATTAGGAAGCATCTGAGATTGGATTTGACCTCATGTCTTCCTGACTCCAAGCCCTCCTTACTATCCAATGCACCACCTAACTGCCTCAAGAAAGTCCTTAAGGTCAAAAGGTTTTGAGTAAATGAAGCCCTGTTGGGATGGGTTTAATCTCCCAAGGTGGTATAAAGTTTACCTTAGTTATTATTACCTTATTCAGTTATCGTTCACACATGTACATGTGTGAGGGAGCAGAATAAACATATTCAACATTTCATTAACCTCGGGCAGCTAGGTGGCATAGTGCATAGAGCACTGGCCCTGGAGTCAGGAGGACCTGAGTTCAAATCCAGCTTCAGACACATAACACTCACTAGCTGTGTGACTCTGGGCAAGTCACTTAACCCCAATTGCCTCACAGTAAAAAAAAAAATACCTTCAACATTTCATTAACCTCATGTAGAGATCCTGCTCCTGCTGGACAGCAGAGGAGGAAAATGAACCAAAACAATAAATATACTTTCGAGCAAATGTGAAAGTCGTCTCGACCAAAAGCTGTTGTTCATTCTATCTATGTCCGCCAATGGATTTTAAAGTGGGTTTGTGGGAATTCAAGAAGTATTCTGTGAGGGACTTAAATAACCCAGACTAATGGCCTACCTGGGAAATGGACAGGATCCAAAGGGCTGAAATCTTGTGTCTGCTTTTTCCTCTTAAAGAAGGGTTATAAAGCACTCTACAGATGTTATCTTAGTTGTCTTAGTCATCTGAGTTCTCACAACCCTGAGAATTAGAGGATATTATGATTTTCATTTTGCTGTTGAGGAAACTGAATCAGAAAGAAGATAAAATGACTAGCTCTGGGTCACACAGCTAGAAAATGTCTGAGGCTTGATTTGAACTCAGGTCTTTCTAACTTCTAGGGCACACTCAATCCACTGTACCATCAAACTTCCAAGAAAGAAAGGAGGATTCTTGATGGGTGGCCAGGAGGGTAGTATCCTAGTTCTTTCTTGTACAGAGTTGTCTTATAACTCTTTGTGCTACCAGCACCTTCACAAAGGGGGCACTCACGATGTCTCATGGCAATGATAATAATGATGGCAATGCAGTAAAAGCATTGGGATGAAGAATAGGGTCAAGCTAGACACCAGTTGAGTTTCAGTTCCTGATTGGATGATGGGTTTGGGAGAACTAGTGGGTCTTGTTTTTTCTTCTCAGAAGACTTCTACTCCTAGCCAAAATTGAGAGAGAGAGAGAGAGAAAGAGAGAGAGAGAGAGAGAGAGAGAGAGAGAGAGAGAGAGAGAGAGAGAGAGAGAGGGAGAGAGATATTGAGAGAGAGAGAAGATATGTCCTGTATCCTGTCTTGAGTAGAAAGGGAGGGATATTAATGATGATCAGATCTCTGTAGTCTGGGGGTATTTAAATTCTATGAAAGAACAGTTCTTTACTGCTGGTTCCCCCTTCTCTCTTGATCTGTCTTTCCTTTTGGTTAGGACCTGTGAAGCAAATGTCTATCCCACTGCAAAAAGTCCATCTTGAGCTCTTAAAACAGGAAGAATGCTATAAGAAAGTTTACCTATTAACTGACAACATGATCTGTGCCTGGGATCCTGAAGGAAAAAGAGATTCCTGCCCGGTAATCAGGACTCTTTTCATTAGATTCAAGGTCAACCCAACTCCCCTGGCTGGGCCAGGGCTATTGGGCCACCTTTGAGTAGCAGTCATTTCAGTGTAGGCTACTTCTTCCTTCTTGGTATTTCTATTAACACCTAGCATGAGAAGATAGTGAAGCTATGCCTTGTTGTAACATTATCTGATCTAAAATGGTTTTATTCTATGCAAGTCCGAGAGGTGTTTTCTTTGGGTTCCTTCAACGGGTTAAGTTCCCCTACCTAGCTACCATGCTTTAGATGATAGACCAATCCATCATTTATTAAGTACCTACTATGTGCCAGGCATTGTACCTTGCACTGAGGATGCAAAGAAAAGTAAAAGACAGTACCTGCTCTCAAGGAACTCACATTTTAATGGAGGAGGCAGCATGCAAACAAGTATGTACACACAAGATGTGTGCGGGATATACTGGAAATATTCAACAGAGAGAAGGTACTAGAATTAAGGAGAATCAGGAAAGACTTCCTGTAGAAGGTAAGATTTTTATCTGGGACTTGAAGGAAGCCAGGAGGTAGGGATGAGGACAGACAGGCATAGAGGTCAGACAGTGAAGTTGCAGTCAGGAGATGGGATATCCTGTTCAATAACATCAAAAAGGTCAGTTACAGGGAACATGAGCAAGGAAAGGTATAAGAAGACTGGAAACGTAGGAATGGACAAGGTTTTGAAGGGGTTTGAATTCCAAACAGAGGATTTTATATTTAATTCTAGAGGTGATAGGGAGCCACTAGAATTTATTGGGGGAGGAAGGTGAGATCTGAACTTTAGAAAAATCACTGTGAAAGCTGAATGTAGGATGGATTGGAGTGGAGATAAACTTGTAGCAAACCAACCAACCAGCAGGCTAGTTCAGTAGTACAGGTGTGAGATGATGATGGTCTGCAGCATCAGGAGGGTGATAGGGACATATGTAAGAGATGATATGGAGGTAAAATGGACAGACCTTGACACATTTTCCATATGAAGAAATGAAGGCTCATAAAAGTTAAGTAACTTGCCCAAGGTCATACAGACAGGAAATGGAAGAATACGGTTTCTAATTCTTTTGATCCAACTAGGATGTGGTTTGGAAGAGAATAATATTTTTCTTTCTCTCCTTTAGGGTGACAGTGGGGGACCTTTGGTTTGCAACAGCAAGAATAATGAGAAAGTATGGTACCAAATAGGCATTGTCAGCTGGGGAGAAGGCTGTGGTCGAAAAGGGAAACCTGGTGTATATACAGCAGTCTCCAATTACTTGTTTTGGATTGTGCTAAAGACCCGTGAGGTGGGCCATCCCTACGTCGTGTCATCTTCTGAATATTTTTTTGTTCCCCCACCATGTTTAATTTTGACATCGTATTTTTCATCTCTTCTCCTCCAAAAGATCTTTTTTCTCTTTACAATAACATAATTCAGTGCCTCTAGACCAAGTGTGCTGATTGGAGGTCATGGTGATCCTGTGAAATCACTGAAGAACTGGGACAATTTTGGAGACTAGAAATGGAAGAGGCTTAGGCTCTTTGGTCTGCTGGTAAACCTCTCCACCCCTACCTCTACCCCCAGCACCATGGTACAGTGGGGAAAGAACTCACTTGGGAATAAAAGCACCAGGATCCTAACCTTGGATCTACCATTTTAACTATCAACTCAGTCTCCTGGGGCCTCAGTTTCATTTTTAGTAAAAAATAAAGAGATTGATTAACTGAGGAGGTGTAATAAGGGAACACCTAACTTTCCTCAATGAGTTCAGGTCACCAGGCTTAGACAATCTCCCAAGATCCTGGGGAAAAAGGAAACAAACTTGTGAATGGTCTCACAGAACTGCTCTCAGTGATTTGAGAAATTATGAAGTACAAGAGAACAGTAAATGTAAGCAGTTTTCTGATTTTCAAAAAGGGACCAGAGGATGGATTATTTAAACCAAAGGCCAAATCAGCCTGACTGAGATTCCTGGCAAAATTCTGGAGTTAATAATTAAAATGAGAGTGTGTCAGCATTTAAAAAGGGAGAATTGATCATCACAAGACAGTGGGTCATGCCAGCCTTACCGCATTTTATTTTTCGACAGGATTAGTAAACCAATAGATAAGAGGAATGGTATGGACATCATTTATCTGTATTCTGGCAATGCGTTTATTTAGTAAAATATCTCATGATAGCCTTGTAAAGAAGATGGAGAGATATAATAGAATAATGGTATAGTCAGGTGGGTTCATAACTACTTGACTGAGCAAAGCCAAAAATTACTAATGGATTGGTGTCAGTCCTCATTCTCTTTTGTTTACATAAAATATCCTCCCTCACCCTCTTTACCTATTCTTATCCATCCTTAAAGTTAAACTCAAATGCCACTTTATTGATGAAAACCTTTCCTTTTAGAACGTGCATAGCACTTTGCTTCACACCTTTCTAATGCATGAGTATTATTTTGTATTAGAGTTTCTATGCATCTTTAATCCTCCTGCTTAGGTCAGAAATTTGCAAGGTTTTAAGAATTCTACCTTCTGTGGTATTTTAAAATATTTAGCTTTTGATTTTTCAGTTTGTATTTGAATTTCCTGAATATATCGATGTAAGTTTGCTAAGTTACATAATAGAAAGTTAAATGATAGTGGAGTTGATGCTAATTTAGAAAATCACTCAGCCCTAGCTTATGTGTCTACTTTGGTAAACATTAAATCATCAACCAGAAGGATTCATTGTACAAGTCAGATTCTCATAGATTTTTTAAAAAAGATTCTTCCTTTAGCTTGTTGTTAGGAATGCCTATATCAGGTATAGGATTCAGAAAAAAAATAGCAAAGGTATTTAAAAACTGAAATTCTCTGAAGTTTCACTTGAGCTATGGACTTAAGAGTCAGGAGAGATTTGGGGTCAAATCCTATATCTAACATTTATTTGTTGTCTTGATTTCCTCACCTATAAAAATGTTTTCCTTATAGCTCTATTGTCAATAAGGCCAGAACCCCAAAGTTTCGGCTTGTTTTCACCACATGAACTAATTATTGGAGAAATAGAAATTAAGAGATTGCATTAAATTATATTGAGATCTGTTTTGTAAAAGATGTTAGCAAGAACAATTAAAGATCTACAAGCAACATGGATCCATAGAAGCAAATCCACCAATGAAGATACACCTTCAGAGCCGCTCTGAGGATGAGACCTGTCCCCAGACCAGAGCACTGGATGAGACATCTGAGATTCAAGATGAAACGTACTGATAAAACGGACATTAGGAGAGGGTTACTGGGATACCAGGAGACTTGATGTTAGTTAATATTGTTGATCGTTATTGTATTACTTTGGCGTTTTACTTTATAGTTAGCTATGTTTACCAACTCTCAGAATTTAGACCATGGTTTTAGATGTTTTTACTATGGTTTGTATTATGATTAATTAGTCTTGTTATTATTTTTCAGCTTTGCTGAAATAGGCTAAAGCCTATTTTGAACTTCCTCCAGAAAATCTTGTGTTAGTGTACCCTACTATTGATAATGATTATTTTAAAGATCTTATAGGATTGTCTTAAAGATAAGTGATCCAGAGATGTCTGGTTTGCTATCCAAAAGTCTGGGATGCTATCCTGCACTTGGAGTCAAAACAATGAGCATTTCTTAGTCTCTTGAGAGAAGAAAGGGAGTCGTTCCTAGTCCCCACTACCAAACTTCCAACCAACTATGTTTCCTGCACCTCAGCTTTGTAACCAATCATGTTGTCCTCAATCTCATGATGTCATCTACCCTGTTCTGTTCTTTGTTTTGTACTCCCTACAACCTGTGAAAGGGGAACAATGCTTTTTCTCAAGGTCTTTTGCTTAAATGGAGGCAGTCCATTGACCCATTTATTGACAAGTAGCATGCCTCTGCTAATAAATGTTATCTTGCTGAGAGATCTGCTTCAGTTTGCCCTTTTGTTAAATTCCAATTGCAACACTGCTTACTACCTCGCATAAACTTGGTCATTTCTTAACCTCCCTTGACTTCAGTTTTCTCACCTGTGAAATAAGGGGGTGGGACTAGATCATATTTAAACTTCCTCCCAGTTCTAAGTCTATGAGCATCTATATTATATAACCTTTGCTCTCATCATGTGGTGGGGAAAGTGTTGGACTTAAGAGTCAGGAGAGATTTGGGGTCAAATGCTATATCTAACATTTATTTGTTGTCTTGATTTCCTCACCTATAAAAATGGAGACAAAAATAGCAGAAATGCCTATCTCCTGTGTTCTTGATAAGATGTAATGAGAGAGCTTATAAAATGCTTTGCTATACAAATGTCAGTTATTACAATATGGTACCTGAAGGTGTTCCATGAGCCACAGATCTTCCTCCTACCCTAGCTTACCCAATTCTACCATCAAATAGTCACTTCTACTCAGGGAGTTCTTTTGTAGGGAAGACAAGGTGGGAGTTTGCTTCTTCATTAACTGGATTGGGTGTTTTCTTCCCAAGTTCCTGTGGTTACCCCATCCATTAAATGTTGCTTCCCGTGGGAAAAATGGGGAAGGGGAGGCAGATGATAGGGGGGAAATTGCTTTTGGTTGGGAGCAGGGATTAGAAAAAAAATATTTTTCCATGATTATATATCAGTGCCTGGTCCCTGGGGAATGGTACAGGAAGACTCTAGCCTAAGAATTGGAAATCAGAGGGATGCCCATCAGGTGGGGAATGGCTAAACAAGCTGTGGTATATGATTGTGATGGAATATTATTGTGCTATATAAGAAATGACAATCAGGATGATTTTAAAAAAAACTTGGAAAGACTTACATGAACTGATGCATAGTGAAGTAAACAGAATCAGGAAAACCTTGTACACAGTAACAGCAACATTGTTAGATGAAGAATTGTGAATGACTTAGCTAATCTCAGCAATATAATGATCCAAAACAATCCTAGAGGACTAATGATAAAGCATACTATCCACCTCCAGAAAAAAGGACTGATGTTGATTGAATACAGACTGAAGCATGCTATTTTCCATTTTCTTTCTTTCATTCTTTTTCTTTTATTCAAGTCTTGCACAAAATGACTAATATGGAAGCATTTTACATGATCGCACTCACATAACCTATATTTGATTGCTTACCATCTCAGGGAGGGAGGAGGGGAAGGAGGGATAGAATTTGAGACTCAAAACTTTAAAAATATTTTTAAAAATGTTTTAACAATTTAATTGGGGGAAAAACAAAATGTATAAAGGGTTTTTTTAAAAAGAAGACTCTAGCCTACCATAGGTAGAAAAATTCAATTAATCAATCAATATGCATGTATTAAGCTTGTTCCAGGCATTATGATGGATGCTAAGGGTATGGGTACTAAGACAAAAGTTGGGGCAGCTAGGTGGCACAGTGGATAGAGCATCGGCCCTGAAGTCAGGAGGACCTGAGTTCAAATCTGGCCCCAGACCAAACACTTGACACTTACTAGCTGTGTGACCCCAGGCAAGTCACTTAACCCCAATAGCCTAAAAAAAAAAAAGGCAAAAGTCAAGGAGTCTCCTCAAGAAACCTATATTCTATTGGTGGAAAATAACATCAATATATGTAATTATATTAAATATATTTATATAGAGTAAATATAAGAAAATTCAAGTGCAGAGATAATAATTGCAATAGTAATTATAATAATAATAGCTATAGTAATAATAATAATAATTATTATTATTATTATAGCTCACATTTATATGTTGCTTTAAGATTTGCAAAGCATTTATAAATTATCATCTTATTTCTCCCCACAACAACCCTGGGAGATAAGTACTATTATTGCTCCCATTTTGCAGATGAGAAAACTAAGCAGACATAGGTTAAATAACTTACTTCAGGTCCTATAGCTAGTATGTATCTGAAGCTGTGTTTGAACTCAGATTTTCTTGATACTAGGTCTAACACTCTTATCTACTACATCACCCGGGACCAAAAGACAATGGTAGTAGAAATTAACAAATAGTTTCCAAGATAAGAAGATGCATTCATAAAGCCTTTCCATTAGGGGAGTAATGCAGCTTTCTTTGTAACGGAAAAAGGAGCCTCACGAATATGCACCTCAGACCTTTGCAGTGGATAACTTTATTGTGGCCAGTGGCTTTTGTCAGTCTCCATATATTCTTCAGCACCAGACATCTATGGTAGAATCCAATCAGAAACTGACTTGCTCTCATTTGTGTAGAGGAAAAGTCTCTGCTACTGACATCACTTATCAGCAAGATTTCACTTTTCACAATCAGCCTTGAAGATATAGGCTTGCTCATTGGTAGGAGCATACTTGGTAGAATATGGAAACCTTTTTAAACCCATGATTCTTCTATCAAACATCCCAACTTTGTCACACTCAAGACCTTTTTAAATTTTTAAAAAACATTTTTATTGATTTAAAGTTTTGAGTTCCAAATTCTGTCTCTCCCTCGTTCCTTATCCTCCCTCCCTGAGATGGTAAGCAATCAGATAGAGGTTAGACATGCATAGTAATCATTTTGTATAAGACTTGAATAAAAGAAAAGAAAATGAAAGACGGTGGAAAAAAGCATGCTTTGCTCTTTATTCGATCAATATCAGTTCTTTCTCTGGAGGTGGATAGTGTGCTTCATCATTAGACCTTTAGGATTGTCCTGAATCATTGCATTGCTGAGAACAGTGAAGTCATTCACAATTCTTCATCGAACAATATTGCTGTTACTGTGTACAACATTTTCCTGGTTCTGTTCACTTCACTATGCATCAGTTCATGTAAGTCTTTCCAGGTTTTCCTGAGATCATTCTACTTGTCATTTCTTATAGCACAATAATATTCCATTACAATCATATACCACACCTTGTTTAGCCATTCCCCAATTGATGGGCATCCCTTTGATTTCCAGTTCTTAGCCAACACAAAAAGAGCTGCTATAAATATTTTATACAAATAGATCTTTTCCCCTTTTTTGCATCTCTTTTTATCATTTTTTAAGTTAATTTGTTTGTTTTTAGTTTCCCACATTCACTTCTATAAGATTTTGAGTTCTACATTTTCTCCCCCTTCCTCTGCTCCTCTCTTCCCATGACAGCATGCAATCTGATATAGGCTATACATGTACAATCAT